CTGAACAAAATAAACTACGAAATCTCCACAAATATTCTTAAATGCCTATAATTGATAACAGAAGCCATTGGTTTATACCAACGGCTTTCCCTACTTGATACTTCTCGTTTTCACTCTCGCGTGGTCATGTGTGACGTCACGAGCTGCAAAGCGATTTTCGCTTCCGCGTCTCGTATACACGAGTTAATCGTTGCTTTGAAATTTTTCATGCAACAAAAACAGACTATCATTATTGTTTCGTCCGTGTATTGGTTGATATATTGAAAAGTAATTGTCATCTTTGATAATGGCTTATGTAAGCCGAAAGCTTATATTGGATTTAAACATGTATCAATATGATGATTTCCTTTCATCTTTCAATGATAATGTTATTAAGCTTATCAGACAATATGAAAGGAACTTACTTAAAATAAATAGACAAAACTTGCCTATATTATTTAATGAAACATGCATTAATGAAAAATCGCTGCCTAACTATACACAATATATATATATATATATATATATATATATATATATATATATATATATATGGGGGTTGCATGTCTTATAGTCAATCACTGGTGCGTCTCCTTATATTTATATCTTGGTCAGCCGATGAACTTTTCAGGAGACCCTCGTACATGTGTATACACACACACTCACACACACACATATATAAATATATATATATGTATGTATATATATTTGTGTATGTGCCTGTGTGGGGGGGGAGAGTGCATCTGTGTTTAAAAATGAATACAATATTTCCTGTTTTGCCTTTGCAAGCCATGGCTGTCAGCAGAAAGTAGAGGAAATGGTACGGCGTCCAAGTAAGTTATTAAATCCAGCTCCGCCCGTTAAAGAATTCTTTATTTGAAAATGGCCATTGCTGTTCACTCGCTTATTTGTTTACTGTCGCACATTGTTGAAAAATTAATTAGTTCCCAGAATATTAAAAACAAAAGAGAAGGCGTAAGAAAATCAACGTTTTATTCTGGGGCTGTCCGTGGAGACGATGGGCTGTGAAGGTCTAGTTTTATTTGAACACTTTGTTTCTATATCTGAGTGTCTCTTGACAGTGAGAGAATAAGCAGGAGGTACGATATTCGTTAACTGAATGTCACTATGGACAGAAGTTAGCCATTATTTCATAAGCATTGAGTTAGAAATCGCTTTTTCTACAAGCATTATCTTCGGTATTATTTTCTAATTTTATACCAGTGAAAGAAAAAATGCGTTTGCTTATTTATGTATATGTTGAAATAAATTCAATACATAAAGAAGAGAGATTATATAAATAACTTTCGACATAAGAATTATAAAATAGGCACAGAATAAATATCCACGGCTTTTTTTTAAGATCACTCATTTCCTTTCGTCATGAGAGACGCCAGCTTAATGTAAAAAAGTACGAATGATTTATTATTTAAAAATACACGCAAATATACAGACATATTTCTTTCGCTTTTTGACCTGAGGAGGCCTAGAAAGGTTGAAACGCGGAAGCAAAATCTACTTACAATGAAACGGTTTTTCATTTGTCATATTTCTTCAAAATTTTGTCGGAGTTCTATATCCTATTTTATGCACATACACAACAATAGGCACACACACACACACACACACACACACATATATATATATATATATATTATATATATATATATATATATATAATAATATTATAATTTTATTTTTGCTCACTACAAAAACATTTGCAACTTCGTTTCAGTGCATTTCAACTGCACTTCAATGGGTGAGAATCGAAAATGGTTATGAACAATCCTGCTTGTAGGCAAGCCGTATGTGAAACGTCACTTCCTTTTTTCATTTGTTTGAGAAGAAAAAATACATATAAAGCAAAAAAGGTGACGGAGTGATACTTCATAACCATTTTCGATTTTCACCTGTCGAAGTGCAGTTGAAATGCACTGAAACGAAGTTGCATCTTTGTAGTGAGTAAATGGTTTTGTCGATATGATAAAATTATAATAAATAATCGGTATCGAGCCCTCTTTTGGATTAATGCTGTGAACGTTGGAATTTCTATATTACTTTCCTTCTCATCGCATTGGATATATATATATATGCGCGTGTATGTGTGTGTTTGGCCACTTTTTAAGCCATTTTTTTAAGGGATTTGCTGTTAACTGTAGTTAATTTCGGTTGTCTTTTAAGATGCAGTTGTGTGATCCATATGTAGTAGTAGCCTTTATTCCGAGCCCCGACAAAAGAATGTGGCTGAAATTCAAGTTAGCGTCTTACACACACACACACACACACACACATATATATATATATATATATATATATATATATATATATATATATATATATATATGATATGGGCAATATTTTGTTTATAATTGTATCTATAAAAATAACGTATAAACAGAAAATGGATATTATATATATATATATATATATATATATATATATATGTGTGTGTGTGTGTGTGTGTGTGTGTGTGTGTGTGTGTGTGTGTGTGTGTGTGTGTGGAAAAATAGGAAAGGACACGTTAAGTAAGTAATCCGGAGTTCTTTAGTATTTTGTTTTAATTTTAAAAACAGTACTCCATACAGAAGTAGACCTTAGATTATAATAATATATATATATATATATATATATATATATATATATATATATATATATATATATATAAATAGTAAAAGGGGGAAACAGTAAGATATTATTAATTAAAAGTAAAAATAATATTTTAAAATTGTAGATCAATACAACAGATTCTAATCCAAACACCCCTTTTAGAAAGAATCTGTATGTATACAAGTAGAAATTTAACCAATAAAATGCCGAAAAACCTTTTGCCGTTGATAAAAAACCAGACGACATGCGTTGAACGAATTTCATAATTCGTTAAAAAAGGCACCCCTACCCTATCTAGACTTACCCCATTTTCGAAAGTAACTCATAATTAATACAATAATAGCTAAAAAAAAAAAAAAAAAAAAAAAAACTGCCCTGTCTAAATGATTGGATTTCTCTGTATCCTTGAAAACAAATATTATGAATGTATGTGCTTTTAAAACTCAGTAAATTTTAAAATAAGCTATTCCATAATTCGCTTGAAGATGAAACAGAAATAATGCTTTTAATTTAAATTTCCTTTGAATTTGAAGTTTTTGTTTTCTTTTTTTGAAACATGGTAATTCCTATGTAGCGATAAAACCATATGTTTAAATCAGTTAATATATATATATATATATATATATATAATACTAATAATCTTGTAAATATAAGCAATTATACTCGTATACAACACAAAGCCAAATAAAAAAGAAGACTATGTTGCGCCAATTACCTGTTTAAAAAGTCCGCCTTAAAAATACTGGATTTTTATAGGGGCTAAGAATAGATTAATATATCCCCAGTTGAAATGTTGTCATATAAGAAAATGGAATATTGTGTTCCACCAACCTTCCAAATTAGGAGAGATTGCCTGCTTTGGAAAATTTATCTAGAAACAAGGAAAAGAGTGCAGAACTGCTACGTGATATCTGTCCTCCTCTATGGTAGCGAACGCTAGACGATCTCCTCAATGATGAAGAGGAAACTTGAAACAGAAATGTGGTTCTACAGAAGGATGCTGAGGATACCATGGACCTAACATGTGAGAAACGACGAAGTTTTGGAGAAAATAGAAACAAAAAGGAAACTAATAATTAACATCAAAAAAAATTTCTAGAGCACATAATGAGGAAAGAAGGCTTGGAAAATCTGATACTCACAGGACAGATTGAAGGCAAGAAGGACAGACGAAAACAACGCATAATATGTATAATGGGCTTGAGTGAATGGATGTCGGAACATTGTTTTGGAGAAATAACAAAAAGACAAAGTTTATTAGGAGCTACAATGGACAGGATATTGTGGAGAGCCATGATATTGGTACGCTAATATTCCAATAAGGGAAACTACTATATGCTTGTCTGCCTACAAAACGAATATTCAAATTGTTTAGCATTTTTTTACCTGTGCTCGAACACCGACCACTTGTTTCGGTGATGTGATAGGTCACCAACCACTTCCGTTCTCCCTTCGTGTTGAATCAAGTTTTCTTTTTATAAAGATGACTTAAAAATGGCGTTTCTATAAAAGTAAAATAAAAAGCGTTGAATAATAATTTAACGTTAGATGTTTCTTTTTCATGAATTTGCTCTTCCATTTCTTTGAATCATTTCCTTGTCTCTTGCGCTTTTTTTTTTGTACGTCTTTAATCTTAGAAGTCAATTTAGACATGTTCATTTCTTTAAAAGAGTTTTTATAGAAGCTGATTGCCAACTACAACGTTTAGTTGTCTCCCCTTTTTCTTTTGTCGTCTTATCTCGTCAGCATTCAATTCAATGTGACGTCAATCACCCGGTCTTTCTCTCGGCGAACAAGACGAACAAAAGAAAAGAAAGAAAAACTAAAGAAAAACAAAAGGGTTAAAAAGTTAAGTAATTGCAAATCAATCCGGACATTTTATTGATGACATACGAAACCAATCAATGGAAATTTTAGATTTGGGAGTAGAAAGAAAGAAAGAAAGAAAGAAAGAAAGAAAGAAAGAAAGAAAGAAAGAAAGAAAGAAAGGGAGGAGCGGGGAAAGAAATAAATAAACGTGATAATATGAAAAGAAAGAAAAAGAGATAATGTGAAAAGAAAGAGGGTAAGAAATTAAATGAGAAAAGAAAAAGGGAAGCAACAGGAAAAGAAAGAAAGAAAGAAAGAAAGAAAGAAAGAAAGAACGAATGAACGAAAGAAAGAAAGAAAGAAAGACAAAGAAACAAAAAGGAAAGAAAGAAAGGAAGAAGAAGAAAGACAGTAAAAAAGAGAAAAAGAAAAAATAATCAGAAACAAAAAAGATAAAGAAAGAAAGAAAGAAAGAAAGAAAGAAAGAAAGAAAGAAAGAAAGAAAGAAATTCCAGTTATTTACCCGTTTATTGTCACTGCGCATTTTCTTTGTCGTTTGCGTGGGTGTATGGCCACCGAGTGAAACCCGGGAAAACTCATTAACAATGGCTCATGTTTGGTGCTATTGCATGCGTCATTGACTGAAAGAAAAGCAAAAGTAGGTTGGATCAAATCAAAGATATTTACATAACACGATCAATTCTTCCCGCTTACCTTGTCACTATCTACTCCTTCCTTTCCAAAGTAATAAACCCATTGCATATCAAATTTGAATTTGCCCGTCACATAGAATTGATCTTCGATCGTAAGGCAGTTTAGTAAACTAGATTGGCTAAAATAAAATGTTCTTTCGTTTTATTAAGTAAAAATAAAAGACTTGGTTTAATAACAAAAATTATTAAACAACATAATTACCAATTTTTTAGATAACGAATTATCATTACTAATAGTACCCGTGAAAAATTCAGTGTTGATATTTGAATTTTCTGATGAATGATAAATATTCATTTAATCACTGAATAATCTTGTGAATTATATAAATGAAAATGTCTATGGATATTCTTCTATTACCTTGTTAAACAGTTGAGCTTAAGAATTTTAACAAAATATTGCAATACCTCTCAGAAGAATGAATTCAGGTCATTATTTAAAGAAGTGAGAAGCTTGTTGTCTGAATTTCTGGGATCAGGAGTTATTATTTACGCTCTTTGTATTCGGACTATTGTCCTCTTGTTTTTATCACAACGTTTCGGTCGTTCTGCTCTTCGGTCTTCTTCGGGTGTATATCGATTCACACACAGGGAATTCTGAACTGAACCCTTTATTTAATCTACTGGAGTAGAGAGTTCTCGTTCCATTTGGTGACATAGTAGTTGTGAGTTCAATCCCTGAGTCGGGCAGTGGAAACGAGCGAGAAGTAATTGAGCTGGACTAAATAAAAGTAACAACACGACGAGTTATCTCTAGACATAAGTAATGGAACGAGAACAGTCTACACCCGTAAATTAAATAAAGGGTTCAGTTCAGAATCCTATGTTGGTTACCCAGATCAATATACACCTGGGGAATGCCGAAGGTCACAACAGCCGAAACGTTGTGATAAGAACAAAGATGAGGACAATAGTCCGAATGTAAATAAGAGGCTTCAAATGAAAAGGTTTAAAAATTGACATGGTTTTTCATTTCACTGAATCAGACGTTAAACAAGTGAGAGCATAATTGCCTATTCCCATCATCCTTTTTTCTTTCTTTCTTTCTTTTTTCTTTCTTTCTTTCTTTCTTAATTTTTTCTTCCTTCCTTTATTTTTTCTTCATTTCTTACTTTCTTTTTTTCTTCTCTCCCTTCCTACCTTTCTTTCTTTCTTTCTTAATTTTTTCTTCCTTCCCTCCTTTCTTTCTTTATTCTTTCTTTCATGATTCTTTTCTTTCATTCTTTCCTACCTTCCTTCTTTTCTTTCTTCTTTCCTTCATTTCTTTCTCTCTATCTTCCTTCCTTCCATCCATCCTTCCTTTCTTTCTTCCTTCTCTTTTTTTATTTTTTCTTTCATCCTTCGTTCCTTTCTTTCTTTCTTTCTTTTCGTCTTTCTTTCTTTCATCATTCCTTTCTTTCAGTCTACCATTCATATTTTCCTTCCTAACTTCATTTCTTTCTTCCTTTCTTCCTTCCCTCTTTTCTTTTTCATTTCATACTTCCTTCCTCCTTTCCTTTCTTTCACCCTTCCTTCCTTCCTTTCTTTCTTTCTTTCTTTTCTTCTTTCTTTCTTTCTTTCTTCCTTTATTTCTTTCATCATTCTTTTCTTTCAGTATTCCCTTTTTATTTTCCTTCCTCCCTTCCTTTCTTTCTTCCTTTCTTCCTTCCCTCCTTTCTTTTTCATTTCTTACTTCTTCCTTCGTCCCTTTCTTTCATCCTTCCTTCGTTTCTTCGTTCTGCCTTTGTTTGTTTCTTTCTTTCTTTCTTTCTTTTACTAACACCAAACAGTGTTTCTGATATGTCTTTCATTTTTCATCTTTCAGTACAAGAACGCTTGACTAAGCAAATTGCTGTTGCAATTACAGAAGCTGTCCAGCCAACAGGAGTCGGAGTGGTAGTAGAAGCTACGTGAGTATCTTCAGTCGCTTTTGCTATTTATCCGTAAAGCCACACAAACAGAATGTGGCACAAGGCTGACTTTAGTTAGTGTCACCTGTGTACATGAGACTTCTTCTTTCAGGAAGTGGGTGATCATTGGCTCTCCACAACTTCCTATCCTTTTTAACTTTATAGCAATGTTTGTCTTTTTACTATCTCTCCTTCTCTCTGTCTGGCATCCATTTACACAAACTTGTTAAGGACGATTTTCTTAGCGTAGTATTCCTGGGTATGATGATAAACTACATCCGGTAGCAAGGCTTCTGATCCGGAGGTTTTGAGGAGTGTGGAACCACCTCTTAATTGCTGTTGATCTCATGTTTTTCCTGACCCAGGGCGATAGCACCTGCTCGGGGTCCCGACTATGGGCAAATACTGAATCTCTAAAAAAACAACACTATAAAAGCATAAAAATACATTTTGTAGTAAAGAAACCAGCAATACATATAGTTAGGGGAAATAAATATTCGTACACATACAAACTTTTAAATTATTGTATTTCCAACGAATGAATAAACATACTTTTCACATAATTAACTGTACACAGGTGCTTAATTAAATATGCATAGAAAACAGAAAAAAATCCCATTTATCCATTTTGGTGAAAAAAGTATTCATGCAATACTAAAAAGAATACATAATTTTCATTTAATACTTTGTAGAATAGCCATTATTCACTTCTACGGCAACCAACATCTTGTAGTTCTCAATTAGTGATTTTAAAATTTTAATTGCTATTTTCTTCCATTCTTCTTCGCATATGATCTTCAGATCTGGGATGTTTGTTGGAGCTCTCAATAAGATTTGAATTTACAAATAACACCACAAACCCTCGATTGGGTTTAAATCTGAGGACTGACATGGCCGTTTTAGGATATTTACATTATTTTCAGCAAGACATTTCTTCGTAGAGTTTGCAGTGTTCTTAGGATCATATTCTTGTTGGAAAACCCAATCAGAAGGAAGTTTCAAGATTTTCAACCGAAATCATTAAATTTGCTTCCAAAATATTTTGATATGCTTCAGCATTCATTCTACCATTTATTATTGATATGTTTCCAGTACCTTTTGCAGAAAAAAACATCCACACGCCATGATTCTGCCACCACCACATTTCACATGTGGAACTGTGTTCTTTTGTTTCAAAGTATCGTCATCTTTTCTCCATATATGATTTCTAGAATTACGTCCAAACAACTCAATTTTGGTTTCGTCTGTCCGTAATACTTTTTCCCAATATTTTTTCTTATCCTTAGGTTTACGAACGAATTTCAATGTGGCATCTCTGTGTCTTTTCAACAGCAGTGGAATTTTCCGAGGGGAGCGTGACTTTAGATTGTTCCTATGAATTTCATTGCTTATTGTTCGTTTAGTGACACAAATTCCTGATGAAAGCAAATCATCCTGTACATCTTGATGAGAAACCATTGGATTTTGTTTAATTTGATGCATTATTTTCCTCGAAGATCTTGAAGAAATCTTCCGTGGTGCACATGTTCGTCTTTGGTTTTCAACAGTTTTCAGTTTTTTATACCTTGCAATGAATTAATGGTAGTAAATGGAATATTCAGGTTGTCTGAGATTTTCCTGTAACTTTGGCCTTCTTTCCAGAGCTTAACAATCAGTTCTTTTTACGAATTTGTCAATTTTACCTCTTGCCATGATGATAACCTTCTTGCACGAATATCAATTACCGAATGTTCTGTTTGTAAATTTTAGGCTAAAAATAACTACTGGTAACATTATTGGAACATTCTAGAATATTCCCATTGAATAATCTAGAGTGTTAAAGAAATTTAAAAGTTTTAAAATCTGAAATTTTGTACGAATATTTTTTTCAACCATTAAAATGAATAAATGGGATATATTTGTATTAAAACATTTTTTTGTTTTCTATGCATATTTAGTTATTACGCATTTGGGCCCCATCGACGTGGTGTAATTGTTAGCAAGTTTGTCTCACTAGAACAATTACGCCTAAATAGTAGGTTCGATCCTTATTGGGTACACCATCCTTTCGGGCTACGCTTCAAAAATCAACATTATTCATCTGTGTACAGTTAATTATATGAAAAGTATGTTTATTCACTAGTTGGAAATACGATCAATTAAAAATTTGTATGTGTACGAATATTTGTTCCTCCCCCAACTGTATTTATATAAAAAATACCAGCAATAATTTTTAAAGCAAAATGACTAACGATACATTTTATCTGTAATGGAATACATAAAATTTTGTTCCAATTATTTAGATTACAGCCTGAAATAATCCATAGAGGTTGATGTGCCACTGAACAAAATCAACCAACTTCGTAGCGTAGCTTGCATCTGGCACAAGGCCGAAAATATGGGGAACCCATTCGTTAGGTAGGTTATGCGCTGATACCCTTTGTTCCTCTTGCATTCAATATATATTATGAGTGTCAAATTCCCTAAGCCTTCTTTCATCATTATGCACCATATATATATATATATATATATATATATATATATATATTATTATTATTATTATTATTATTATTTCGATCTTTCTCCATATGTGGCCTCCTTTGTAAATCACTAGCGGGTCTTAAATGCCACTTAAGATTATCGCACAAAATTTCATAACTGAATCAATTAAGCTGTCAGATCCTCATAGGTCGAAACCGACGGGAGAGTTTTCATGAGAAATTTCATTATGACAAAAATAAAAAATGCATTTTATGATTAAATTTTGCTCTCGTCAAAATATCCTCCTTTTGCCTTGATTACTGCAACATTTTTGGCATTTGTTGCAAAAGTTTCTCAAAGTTTGATAATTGATTCCATTCTTTTTTCAGTGACTCTAAGCGCTCTTTTTTCCCACTCTTCATTCCGTGCTAATTCTTGGGTAACTTCAGACTTTTGAACTGTAGTATATATATATATATATATATATATATATATATATATATATATATATATATATATATATAATCCAATCCAGTGTAAACTGTGTATATTGCTTGTAGCACTTTTCACGTTAAGCAACATAACACGTAGATGTGTTTTTATAGATTCGATCTTTTGACAATTCTTAAGTTGTTTCGTTATAAAATATTCTTTGAATTTACCATTAAAAAAGAGAAAAAAATCTTGTTTCAATGTCTCTTATTCCTTTGTCTGATTTGTAAGCTATGCAACTGTGTAAATTTATATGAAACTCTAAGTATGTAAATGCAGTTGAGATTTAGTCTAGCGTTGTAAGATTATGTCCCTGGCTTATATTATACGCATGCGTACAAACACAGTTATTATTCCTGTTCTTTTGAAAACAGACCCGACACGTCTACCTGGAACTGAATGAAACTAGTCAAAGTAGTGGAAATGCTCACATACCGTTTTGTTGGCGCAGGCGCGTGTGGGAAGACTTATTAATAAACTGGCTCTCGGCACCGGAAGAAGACATACAATTCCTCGTAGATGTCACTTTGAAAAGACGCTGATGTGGAGCGTTTGTGAGTTGAGGATTGATCGGAGACGTTTTCTATTGCTCTAATAGCTGTCTACTTTCAGAATTCATCATCTGCGTCATAGTAGACGCAAACATGAAGCAAACACATATGCCCGAAAAGTGTAGCATTACTTGTTCACAATTAGAATTAAAAGGAGTCAATAGGAACTAAGTTAAGATCAATAAAAGATAAGATAAAATCCATTGTGAAGTCTGCGTGATCCTATTTCTGAGCAAGCCAAAATAATGCTACAAAGTTTAACTTTGGAACGGAACAATTTTCAGACTTTTATAGCACATTGTCTAGCATTGTGGGTGGTAACGAAAAGAAATATAGTATTATGTTTTTTTTACAGAGAAATTACAGACAGTTTTGTATATTATAGATTTCGGCAAAAAGGCTTTCTTTAGTTTTAAATTAGATTAAATTTCACGCCTAAAGTAGTCATCAGAATATGTTTATATATCTAATTTATATGATGTGTTTTGATCTTCTGTCAGCCTTAGAGTTCATGTAGCTCAATCGATAAGAGCAACTGTCATGGTAAGATAGGCTTCCCAGGGGAAATTGATGTATCGTAGCAAGTTTATTGCTTGCCAAGAATTTCACTAGGACCTTACAGCAAAGAAAGAAAGAAAGAAAGAAAGAAAGAAAGAAAGAAAGAAAGAGAAGAAAAACTGTTATGGTCCAAGTTCCTTGTAGCACGGTGATGGTCCAAGGTTAGAACCAATGAAACAATAACACGAGCACAGGTATGGAATACAAAGATATATTACAACAGAAATATAATATAAAGAAGTAGAAGTATTATTAATGACTATCAGATTTGGTTAGAGTGAACTATGTTGTCTCGACAAGTATCACTATTCCAATGTCCTTACAATATGCTCTCAAATTATCTCTCCTCATCTTACAATCTCCTGATACCTCTTGAGAGGCGCAGTATTTATAATGTCAGGAATAGTCCATTATTATTATTAGGGGTAAATTCCCATAACAGAAATAGATAGCAAAGATTAGAAAAAAAAGGTAGAAAATAAAAAACAGAAAGGGTTTGATTGCTTCGTTTTTTACGGCTTATCAACTCTTCGCAGGTTATTTAAAGCCATATAATATTTTTATATTGTAATTTTTTTTTTAATATATATTTCGGTATTCCCAAGCGGTAACCCATCTAGGTACTGACCAGGTTCGACGTTGCTTAACTTCGGTAATTGTACGGGGACTGGTGTTTCAATATAATATAACCGTGAGTCTTTCTTCAGTGCTAGAAAATAGTAGTATTTTAAGGATTAATAACGTCCCGCTGAATAAATGGATGGCTTAATAATTTTGTTTTATTCACTTCGCCTAAAGCAAGGTAACAATGCCACTAAGACGCAAAAGGGCTACTGGGAGTGAACGAGACTGAAAAGAAACCAGAAAAGGAACCAGAAACCCAATCACAAACGGAAAACAAGGAATAAACCTCTACTTCTGTTCAAATGACCAGGTAAGAGTATGAGCCAGTCGATAAGCGAACCTATCTAATCCTATTAAGGAAAAATAAATAGTAAATAAGATTTCTGAGTTTAAGAAGAAATTAAATGAAGGGACGGAACCGGAAACCCGATCCTAAACCTGGAACAAGGGATATTTTTACTCAGCTTGAAAAGCCTCTAATTTGAAACAGCAAGATTCCAAATACACTCACTTCACGCAATAAATAATAAAAGATAAAGTAGACAGGTATTGATAACAATTGTTTACAAAAGGTATTTGTTATGTCGGCCATATTTGTTTATCTCTTCATTTTTACTTTCATTGTTTATTAATATATAGAAATAGAATAAAATCATATCAAACAGAAATAACCAAATAATTTTTCCATAATATTTCCGACAAAACAAATTGACTTAATGGTTACATATCGATTTCTTGCTGGATTTGAGATTATTTCATATGCTGCCTTTTAATTCCAGATGGATAATCTCTCAACAAATTGTATTTATTTGACTGTAAATCATTCTGCCGGGCCCTTTGTTTTATGTATGGATTTTATTGGTATTTTTTGAGGTTTGTTTTTAACTCTAGATTTTCATTACATAAAATACTCACACATTGTCGACAAAGCGTGAAATCTCAGATACTCAACCATTTTCTTTCAATTCTGCATTTGTTCCATTTTCATTCTATGTTCTTTACAAACAATAACTACAACAAGGCTACAGTTAATGAATTCTTTTAATTCCTTCTTTTTATCTATCCTCAATTCTAAGAAACATTTTACAAATTCTGATACTTGTGCGTTGGGGTGCAATGGTTATCGCCTCCGAATGAGAAATCGGAGAGCCGAGTTCGAATTCCAGTCGAATTCGTTACATTCACTTACGCGCAAATACTCTTGGGAAAGGCATGAATCCATCTTTTCTTTCTCCAACTATGTTGAATAGCAGAATAGACTGGCTTCTATAGCATTTGGTTGGCAATCAGCTTACCGTAAAAAGAAACGGCAGCCTACTGCGGGAATATCTTCTGCCTAGTCAGTCATAAATCGAAAGTTACCTGATCGCTTAATCATGTATCACCTATTGCACTTAACTTGCTGATACTAATTACTAATAAGTAATAATAAATTAAAAAAATTCAATCATTCAACAGAATATAGCAAATGAGCTCCAAATGAGTACAAAAATAGACAATACTGGACAGGAACAGTGATCTACTAAGAACTGTGCAAAGGATTTAGATTTGTGCAGAACAATGATGTATAATTTCAGAAAAACAATGATTACTCTGAAAATTCTTATCCTCACCTACCTGGAACGGGGGGCTGCTCTATTTTTGTACCTGGCCCCCAGTGCTCCCTACATTAAACTAGCCTTGTATCACGTCCTACCAGCATGGGACCGCAAGAAAATACAATCGATTCTCGGACTTTTTGCTAAGATCAAAGTGTAGCATCTGTTTCAATCAGCTTAATCTAATTCTCTATTTCCTCTTCTCTCTTCCAGTCTTTCTTTCTTTCATTTTCTCACTGAAATCAAGTAGTATTTTTCCCATCTTTCCGCGCGATGAAAAGAGATTAATCCATTATTCATGTGGTATTAGCGGGGCGTAACGGTCGCGCAAACTAGCGAAACAACAGCCAAGCTCAATTATAATAGGATACATATTTCTTTTATTTGTTCCCATTTTCTCGGAGTGGAATGCACTTCAAAACGTAGGGAACGAGGCTGATTCAGCTCTGTGGACGTAACAAGATAAGTTTGGGATGTAAATATCTGAACTGGTAGCATTAAACGATGGAGAATTTCAGAAAGTTGTCATGGAAGTAGCGATAGTCTTGTGACGTTGTGTCCGTGGGTTTCTTAACAAGATTTTACGGGATGGAGTAGCGAGACTCCTGCCCAATCTATTTTGAATTCAGAGGTGTCACAACCCAACCAGAAGACCAAATCTTTTAACCGGAAATACAGAAAAGAAGACATGACAAATAGTATAAAACGTGATTCCAGAAAACCCTAGAACCATCACAACGGAATAATTGTTGGGCCGGAAGGCAACAATAGTTACAAACATTGTTGGGACACTTAAAATGGCTCCAAAGATCCGAACAAAATGTCTGGAAAAAGGAAAATCCGAGATGAACTTACTCATCTGTTTATGACGAAAAATATACGGAAAAACAAACAAAAATACTAATATGCAATTATGCTGTTTTAATGCTAATATAATGTCAACGTCGGACGTTTCGGTCTAGTAGACCATCTTCAGGACATATTCATAAAACATAATTAACATTAGACTATATTCAATTCAACATGAAAAGACGATGGTCATAAGAGTAAGACTAACCAAAACAGATAACTAAAGTTGTAGCCTCTGTTTGTTATCAAAATCCTTCTAGGGTATTGGAGATAGACCCCCATAACCATATTCTGAAACTACACAACCCAGGGTATTCGGATAAGTATATTTTGATCAAAGGGGATCCACGGGGAACACACCCCAAAACCCACTGAAATTTGTTTCCCTTTGAATTAAATTAAATTTAAATTTGAACAAGCGAATGACTCCTATCTAAAATATAGAAGAAGATTATTGTGTAATATTGAAATGCATCATTTTTCTTCCCAAATTATAACTAATTTAAAATCAGTCATCATTTTCTCACCAAAAAAAATGTGTGATACACAAGGTGCGGATAATTCGTAATAAGTGTATCAAATTCTCTCAGTAGGAGTATAAATATATATATATGATTGGGTAGGGACAGTGATCCACTAGGAATTTTGCAAATAACTGGGATTTGATAATGCGTCCCAGTAGTATAAACACAAGCCTGTTTTAGAACAAGATTTCTTAAAGAAGGGATCGTTTATGAAAGAAAAGCAAATTGCAAAAATTATATTCTACGATAGAGAGATGATGAAGTACAGTACGATAATAATTGGATATTGTATAATGACAGATATTATAGCCTCCTCGATTCTGGACAAAAAAAATGGCAGAAGAGAAGACCAAAACATCATTAATTATTCATTATTCATCAGAATTATATTTTACCGTCTCGTCTGGGAATCAACAGCTTCATTAGAAATGATGACTAAAAACCAACTTAAATTATTCCGGTTCTAGATAATAATGCACAGATTGTTGTCGGCTGTCAGGATTTCACGTTGCGCCAGCAATGACAAACGACGCCTCGCCATGGACAAGGGTTTAGTTAGCTACTCTTGCATGCAATTACAGCTGAAGTGATTTCGATTCTCACTGGGTGTTGTCACAGTTATAGCTTCTGCGGTACGAAAGTAAGACTATAAAGTATCAATATACCAGTCACCACGACATGAAGCTGTGGTTAACAGACAGACAATAATGGAAACTTGTTTGGCTTGGTTTGTTTTGTTTTATATTACGGCATATCAAACCTCAATGGGTCATTTAATACCGACAAGATTTTTATTACTGGTAATATTTTTTCAAAAATGTATTGTTGGTATTAAAATCTATTTTCTCCGTTTGACCCCAGTTTGGGGGTTTAACTATTTGCCCATAGCTGGGACCCTAACAGGTGCTACCACCCTAGGTTAGGGTGAGCCTGGGAATACCAGCAATTAAGAGTGGTTCCACGCTTCTCAAAATCTCCTGATCAGAGGCCTTGCTGTTGTATGTAGTTCATCGTCTTACCCAGGACGCGGATGTAGTTTATCGTCATACCCAGGACGGCTGGAAACTTGTAGCTCGTGATCTACTAAGCTTAGTAAATATGCATATTCTTTATTTCTTTCATAGATTAACTACCTGTTTTTTTTTTGGGGGGGGGTTGCTAGATGTACCGGCCTGTGTTCGAATCAAGTAATATTTTTCAAGAAAGCCAATGTTTTAGATGCTAGTTTTGAAGTCAGACACTTCTCAATTAGAGGATTGGAGCAACACAATCTTCATAATCTAATTCCCTCCTTCATGTCTGTCTTAATGTCATTCCAAGTTAAGATTCCTTAAAAATCATCATGGTCAACTAATATGACCGAAAGTGTTAAATAGTAACAACATCCGTCGTCAGAGTATTCAAGACAAAATTTGGGAGCAAACAGACTGTATTATCGTCCGGTTCACAAACCACCCTGTTTTTTTGTACAGGCGTAGAGGGTTCCTCCCTTCTTTCCTGTTTAGGATTGTGTTGTAGAGTAAGACTCAGCACACTTCCTGATCTTCCCTACTAGTATGGACTGCTCCAACTTACAAATATGGCAAGTAGCCATATTAGAGTAGGATTTGAGTAGTAGTTGATTTACTATTTTTTCCCCGTTCTATGTATGGCTATTTAATAAGTCTTCTATCCCTTCGATACTCTCTCTAACTACGGCCTTCCTAATTAAAGGTTATTTTGAACTTCTATGCATGAGTATTTAATAAAACACTTTTCCTTTGATTCAAACAAAAGACTAGGTTTCTGATTCCTTCTAAATCCGCACTCTCTTTCACTCCCGGCAACCACTTGAGTCTTAATGGTATTACCGCCTTGCTTGGAGTGAAATGATATATATATATATATATATATATATATATATATATATATATATATATATATATATAGAATAAAAATCCAAGACTCTGTGTAATATATGGTCAGTTATAATAAATAGAGGGCTTTTTTGTGTGTCAGTTTCAATATTTTATATTATTAGGATTCACTTGGATTATATACCAACGGATTATTGCCTCCCTCTCTCTCTGTTCTCTCCTCCCTCTCTCTCTCTCTCT